GGGGGTGGCTGGGGAGGGGCCGCGAGGCTGGGGGAGGCTGGACACAGAGCGCTGGGAGGCAAAGGGATCCTGGCCGGTCACTCGGGCGCTGTGTTTCTCCCCTGACCCTGTTCTCTGGACGCTGCCCCGTGCCGCAGGTCCTGCTGCGCCAGGATGGGCTCTCATGGCCTGTTCTCTGCTCTTTCCTCTGCTGCAGTTCGGGAACTCCGGGGGGCCCCTCGTCAACTTGGTGAGTGCCGCTGGTCCCTCCCTCTGGCAGGGCAGAGGTGCCTCCTCCCTCCGCTCCCTGTCCGGCTGCGGGAGGGAGGGACTGTGTGTGCCCCAGGCTCCTTGTGAGGAGCAGCTGGTGTGGGACCCCTGTGCAGGGCCTGTTTCAAGGAACCCGGAGCCGGTGGGGCTGGGGCAGAGTGGGGGCTTGGGGGTGCTGCAGCTGTGGCATCAGCCCGTGCCCGCCCCAGCAGGATGGGGAGGGATGGGCAGTTCCCCCCTCATCACCACAGCGCAGGCTGGACAGCACAGTGCCCTTGTCCTGCAGGACGGGGAGGTGATCGGGGTGAACACCATGAAGGTGACATCAGGCATCTCCTTTGCCATCCCCTCAGACCGGCTGCGGAAGTTCCTTCAGAAGGAGGAGCAGCGGAAAAGTGAGTTGGGTGCCTCCTACTGGGGATGGAGGCCAGGAGGAGGGTGGAAGAGGGAGGCTCTGGCACAGCTGGGCTCCGGGCCCTTCTGAGCAAAGGCAGAGCAGGAGGAGTCTTTGGGGGCAGGAAGGTTCTCCCATCTGGCGTGAAACCCCTCTGCCACCAGGAAGCTGTGCAGGGGCCTGACTGCAGCCCAGGTGAAGACTTTAATGTGTCCCAGGTAGCTTGCACTTAAGTCCTCAGAACTAGGTGAGAATTTTGGTGGGTGTTTTTTTGTCTGTTGCTACTTTTCAGTAGATCTCAGTATATGTGAAAGTCACCATGGATCATCTGTTGGTATTCAAAAATGGACAAAGTGACCTTGAAACTGGGGGCTACTTGTGTGCACTCACGGAAACACAGGTGCACGATTGAGCTGTATCATAAAGCTGTGTTAGCTGTGTCTGTCCCCGTCCCTGGAGGGGTTTCCAAGCCCTGTAGATGTGGTGCTGAGGGACATGGGGCAGTGGGGGCCTTGGCAGGGCTGGGGGAACAGTGGGACTGGATGATCTTAAAGGTCTATTCCAACCAAAACAATTAGATGGTTCTATAAAGGACAGGTAGTTCATTTGGTCCTGTCTGTGGGCTCTTTGTTCCGTTGTCTTTGGGGTAACTTAGTGCAGATTCTTGCTCTCTGGTTCTGCTGCTGACATCATGGAGTGCTGCTCTCAGTCCAAAAACCAGCAGCTCAGGCCAGGGAAACAGAGTGTGCTGTGCCTGCAGAGCTCCAGCTCAGCCCCTGGCGCAGCCGGGTGTGTCCCCGCGTGCATGTCCTGTTCCAGGGAGTTTGCAGCTGTCCCCCTGGTCCTTTCCTCCTGCAGGCTCTTGGTTCGGGAATGCAGAGACGAAGCGCCGGTACATCGGGGTGATGATGCTGACCCTGACACCCAGGTGAGGGCCCTGGGACTGACGGGTGGGTCATGGTGGGGCAGGGGTCTGCGTGATGGGATCTTCCAAACTCACCCACAGTGCCCAGTTTGGGGAGGACTGTGCTCACGGCTTATGCATTTGCTCTCAGATCTCTTTGTGCTCACGTTGTGCTTGGACTCTGGGCTGTGTCAGAGGTAAATTAGACACTTGCAGGTTTCTACACTTCTGGCAGAATCCAGAAACAGATAAAAAGTTCCTGAACCTGCCCCTCAGAGTGGCAGATGAGACTGTAGTTGTCACTGAGGGGAACTGGATGAGGAAGCCTTGCAACACAGAGTGAATGAAAAGCCACCAGAAACATTGTGTAATTGATAGATGTGCAGGGCACCAGCTAAAGGGTGTGATGAAACCGTGGGGTGAGTTGTGCTCTCTGGAGGAGGGGTCTGTCCAGTGGATTCCTCTGGTTCAGAAACAGCTCTGGAATATGGCACTTTGGGAGTAAGAAATGGCAAGTTTTCCTGCAGTGGTCGGGCAAAGGAGGAGGTAAACCTGTAGGAGAGCAGGATGTGGTGGCACCCAGAGGGTGTTGTGAGGCTCCTGGGTGTCAGGAGCAGGGCTGGGTGCTGCATCTGGAAATAAGTCATCATGGTGGCGACGAGTACAGCACTGGCAGGAGGGAAGAGGATGCCTCCTTGTGGATCTGAGGCTCTTCACCCTCCTGGCTCTGGTTTGGGAAGGGCATTGTGTTGGTGTGCACCTCAAGGGATGCACTGGTCAGCAGGGGACTGCAGACAGACAACTTGCTAGGCTCTGGCAGAAGGGTCACCTGCTGCCCTTGCTGCAGCTGGTCTCTGAGATGTGCCTGAGGCCTTGGTGGCCAACTGAGCCCCAAGGCCGGTGCCCTGCAGGCAGCAGGAGTGTGCCCAGTCAGGCCTGCCTGGAGGGAACTGCTGGAGGAGCCAGACCTGAAGGCCTCCAGCAGCCTCCTGGACACAGCAGGTGTGTGACAAGAGTTCCTGCTCCAGGGCCTGGGCTCCTGCAGCATCTCTCAAGAGCCCTTTACCTAACCCTGGGGCTTGGCTGCTCCTGGGGGTGGTGGCAGTAGCAGCAGGAAGGCCTCTCGGGGCCGTGCTCTGCCCTTGCTGCAGCTCCTTTGTATTGGGGTGCACAGGCTGCCCCCTCTGGGCACCACGAGC